CCTTGGCTGCTACCCATTAGATGTCAATAGCATCCCCCAGTTGTGACAACCAGAAATGTCTCCGTTGTTGTTGTTAGGTGCCATTGAGTTGGTTCTGACTCATAGCAACCCTATGTACAACAGAATAAAACACTGCCTGGTCCTTCAGCATCCTCACATTGTTATGCTTGATCCCATTGTTGCAGGCACTGTGTCAATCCATCTCATTGAATGTCTTCCTCTTTTTCGATGACCAAGAATGACTTTAGCAAGAATGATGTCCTTCTCCAGGAGCTGATCCCTCTTAATAATATGTCTGTGATGGTTAAGATTGTGTGTCAACTTGGCTGGACCGTGATTCTCAGTATTTTGGCAGTTGTATAATGTTGTGATCACCTCCCTATTGAGATTTGATATGTGATCACCCCCATGATGAGATCTGCTGTGAGTAGCCAATCGGTTGAAAGGGAGTTTTCTTGGGTGTGTGGCCTGCAACGAATATAAGTGGACATTCTGGCAAGGCTTGGGGGCTTTTTGCTCATTCTGTATCCTGCAACTGGCTCCTGTTCATCTGACTTCTGGTTCTTGGGACTTGAGCCAGCAGCTTACCTGTAGTCTTGCCTGCTGATCTCAAGATTCATTGATCTTTCCAGCCTGTGAGCAAGAGCTCTGCTGTCTGACCTGCCAATCTTGGATTCGCCAGCCCCTGCAGCTATGTGAATCAGGAGAAGCCTCTATCCTGACCCATGGGCTTGGGACATTCCAGCCTCTACAGTCACGTGAGCCATTTCCTTGATATAAATCTCTCTCTATGTATATATTTATATGCGTTAGTGGTTTTGCTTCTCTAGAAAACCCAGCCTAAGACAGTGTCCAAAGTATGTGAGACGTAGTCTCACCATCCTTGCCTCTAAGGAGCATTCTGGTTGTACTTCTTCCAAGACAGATTCGTTTGTTCTTTTGGCAGTGCATGGTATATTCAGTACTCTTCGCCAACACTGCAATTCAAAGGCGTCAATTCTTCTTCTGTCTTCCATATTCGTGTCTCTAGATACTGCCATATGTCCCCTGGGGGAAAAATAGTCCCTGGTGGAGTACCATCAACATAGAAACACCATCTTGATCTTCCTGACTTTTTAACAAAGGATATTACAGTCCTACCTTGGATTTGACACATTTCTTAATATGAGAATTGTTGGGTCTAGAGAGGTTGGGAA